TACTGTGCAAGCCAGGGCTTTGTCTCCCTCCAACACCTACCACCTGCCCCTCACTCAGAACTGCGACTCCTTCCATCCCTTAATGGAAGAAGGCACATAAATGGTGCATGAGCCCCCAATGGAGTTAAGTAATACCACCCCTTGACTTCTTACCTATTACTCTAGGCTGGAATAGGGTCATGAAGATATGGAAAGGCATGTCCTCCCCAAGTGACACTTCCTTCTATAAGAAGTACGATCCAACCAACTGGCTCCACCCATTTGGCAGAACCTGGGTCGGCGACAACATGAAGTTCCTCAGCATCGCCCTGGAGAAGGGGTACAGAGGAAGACGCGTACCTGCCTTAAACAGGTACTCGCTCACCGCCAAGCACCCAGGCCTCGGATAGCAGGCCCGCTTATGGGCCTCGGGTACTAACATTTCTACATAATGAGGTACACAGTACCTCTTCCTAATTTCTCCCAGCCTCTTCCCTGTCATATTTGAAGGGACCTTAGACGCCCCCTACTCCACACTGTAGTCTACTGCCTCCTCGGTCATAGCATACTGCTCAACCTCGGAGTCCCCTCTGTAACTAGCCTCCTAACCGAATGACGCGACAGTGATGAACTCCCTACCCAAGGTGGACTACATTTCAGAAAATGACTAAGAACATAATACAAGGGATTTTCTGTTAAAATACCAACGGGGATAACTACGCCGACGGAATGGTGCCGGAAAATTAGGAAATAGACAGTTTCAACGCCAGAAAACTTAAGCTTTGGAAGAAAAATCAGATTGTAAAGGGTAGAAAATCCAAGACAATGGGGGTCTCTCGCCTTTTATAAAAGGCCAGAACGAACCCCAACCATCTTATCAAAGCCCATCCAATCTGGACCCTTCATTCTTAATCAAATCCGAGATGTAGAATTCAAACGATTTTTCAAACCTACACATCAAATTTAAGCGTGTCTCGTACGCACCTCCTCCAACGCGTCTGCTTCTAGAAGCTCCCGCTGTTCTCATGATTACGATTTTAATTCAACGGCAGCAGGCGCTTTGGAAGTTGTAACGGTTCAGCCACTTTTCCTCGAAAATATGCGCAAAACATCAAATCATTGGCACAGCTACCGAGGAACAATTATTGTCGATGTGCCTCAAAATTCAGCCATCAAGCCTCGCAGGTTCAGTTTTCTCAACCACCTCTGCTTCTTCATCAAAATTCAGCCATCAAGCCTCGTAGGTTTGGTTTCTCAACCACCTCGACTTCTTCATCAAAATTCATCCATCAAGCCTCGTAGGTTCGGTTTTCTCAACCACCTCGGCTTCTTCATCAAAATTCAGCCATCAAGCCTTGTAGGTTCGATTTCTCCATCAAACCTTGTAGGTTCGATTTCTTAACCACCTCGACTTCTTCATCAAAATTCATCCATTAAGCCTCGTAGATTTGGTTTCTCAACCACCTCGGCTTCTCCATCAAAATTCATCCATCAAGCCTCGTAGGTTCGATTTCTCAACCACCTCGGATTCTTCATCAAAAATCAGCCATCAACCCTCGTAAGTTCGATTTCTCAATCACCTCGGCTTCTTCATCAAAATTCACCCATCAAGCCTCGTAGGTTTGGTTTCTCAACCACCTCGACTTTTTCATCATATTTCAGCCATCAAGCCTCGTAGGTTCGGTTTCCCAACCATCTCGGCTTCATCATTCTCATCACTCCTCAGACAATAGCAAATCTCTAACTCCAACCATGATATAAATATCTATACTTGGACTTGGGAGACTATTATTTGGGGTACAAAAATTTCAAAAATTCCTTTCAACTTAACTAGCTAGCTTTATTTCATCAAAGTCCTCGCATTACATAAATACTATACTTGGACTTGGGGGACTATTGTTATGTGTTCGCACACTTTGGCAACCCATCGGGGCCCACAGCTAACTCATGCCGAACTACGTGGCACTCAATTCGAGGTGATTTGCATAGCCGAGGCTCACAAATCGAGGTCCACAGATACCTAAGCCCATATACACGAGGCTCATTTATCATTACCTCGTGAGGAGCTTCCGAAGCCCATACGCCGAGGTCCTTTGAAGGTGGACGAGGCCCTGTTTGTCGAAACTCTGTAGCTAATGTGACCTCTTCCGAAGCACAAAGCAACATCTTCCATAGACACCTCTCCCAAGAGATCTTCTGCACAAAGATCTTACTTGAATGATTGATAGGACGTTTGCAATGAGTATAAATGTTAAATCTTGTCACTAGTAGAGGCGGCTCTGCCAATCAATAAATGTATAACAGGCTAGTTGCGGCTGATGCCTGCAATTTGACATGTAACTCAATCGGATGAGGCCACGTGTACCCCGAACCAAAGGTCACGATCTAACTAGTGACACTATAAATACTCCCTCATGTACCCCATACAAAGGCTAATGCAAGAATCAATACAAGAAACCATAATTTGCTCAACTCTCTCTTTCCTATTATCTTGCAACATAAACAAGTTCATACATATTTAGATACACATTAGCAAACATCGATTGGTAATTATTGTACAATTAGTCTACGATCATCGTCGAATTTCGAACGTTTTCGTCCCGCATCGTTGAGCTACTCCCATGCCCTTGATCTGTCATTTTTAGACCGTCCACGTGTCTTTACGTGTTGGACTTTCGCTTACTTGAGCGCAGACGGGTCCGACATCTGTTGGCAACATTTATTGGGGTTAACATTATCTATTACGATTATTTACTCTTTCAAAGCTTCTTTCTACATTCTTTCATTTTCGATCATTGTCTAGCATATGCTAATGTATTTCTAGTGATTCTTCTTTGGTCCTCATTTGTTTTTCAATATTTGATTTTGTGGGATTCGATTTTGTGGAGATGTGTGTGTGGATTTAACAATTTCATTGACGGTGGTGATGGTGTTGCAATTGTGATGACCGGGACACGATGTTGGTGGTAGCGGTGGTGCAGTGATTATTGTGATGGTGGCCCAATGGTGTAGATAAATTGGTTGTGATTTAAGATTTTAGAGGTAGTGGTTGACAGTTGAGGCAACGGTGGTTGTGTTATAGAGGATAGATTTTCAATTGAGTATGGTGTTAGTTGATGGAATGGATTAGTGTTCGCAAGTGGTGGCTTATGGTGGAGGCAAGTGGTGGCAACCAAAAACAATGGTGATAGTGATTGTGGTGTAACACAATAAGTTCTAAGTGGTGGAGCACGCACGTCATAGTTCTAATAAGGTATGTTGCAAGTGATAGCAACAATCACATTGGCTGTAACACAATATGTTACAATTGGTGGTGATGACAATTGCGACATAAGATTATTATCGCCATAATTATCAAATTTGATACAAAATTTTATAGAAACTTTCATAGTATAAAAACTTCTCTTCGAGTAAAAAAGATTTAATTTAATTATTTGCTACTAATTATACTTTTTAGCTATATATTATTGATATTGTAAATTATGCCCTTGTTTGGTTCAGCTGAAATATTAAATTAAAATCTAACTCATAGTCAATAATTAATTTTAATCATAGTTTTATCAACTTTTATTAAAATCTATTAAAAATTCAATTTTTATCTAAACCAAATAGGGGCAATATTTCTGCTGTAAAATTTTATTTCTTATAATATTCAAATTTAGTTTCATAATTTTGTGGAATTTACAAAGAAAATAATAATAAATACATTGCTTCGTGTTCTTTTATATACAAAAAAAATGTATCTATTAACAATAAAAAACTTTTGTATATTAAAAATTTAAATTTATCTTAGCTAAAGTTATTTTCTATACATATTCATAAATTTATAAAATAGTTTTTCATAATTAATATTCTAGTAAGATTTTTATGTTAAAAAAAAATACACACTTGTGTGCGCTCGCGTGCGCAATTAAAAATAAAAAAAAGATTTTGAATTTCTATATAATATTATTTTATTAAAAAATGTGTAATTGAAAAAAAATGAGAGAAAAAATATATTTTAAAAATAATGAGAATCAAACAAGAGCATAGGATGCATGATTTTTTCTTTTATTTTCAAAAAAATATTGAAGTCAAGAGATTAATGCTTTTTACAAAATAAACTCTCTATTTATAAAAAGTATTTTATGCATAATAGAGAGTAATTTTTTCATTCATTCCAATAATAAGAATAATTTAAGTGCTTGTTTATGCCCCATTATTTGTAAGTAATGTATTATGGAATTATAATTGATATTGAAATGTGTGATTAAAAAAGAAGAATTTTTTTTACTTACGTATAATATTATTTTAATGAAGATGTATAGTTGAAAATGAGTACCGTAGAAAAAATAATGTAGTTGCATATGAAAAAATGATAGACAAACAAAACCTAAATTGTAAAGCATTGAACTTTGTAATGTATTAAATGCAATCATCAAATATTAAGAATAGAAGAGCCAATCTCACTCAGGATGTGATACATGTACATAATTGTCTATATAATGGTGTTCATAATTACATGTAGTATTGGATCCAACTTTTAATTCAAATCTCACACTTTCACATCAATAATCGAATGATTGTCACATCACATTATGGACAACATTATGTGCAATATTTATTTACATGTAGATTTTTCCATCTCACTCTCTGTAAAATAGAGTCGTTCCAAAGTCACATTCACTCTCTAAGATAGAAAGTATTTTGAAAAGTGTTTTGATCATATTTTAATTACATTCTTCAATAAAATAATATTACACGTAAAATCAAATTTTTTTCAATTTTTTAATCATACATTTCCTATCAATACACTATTCAAAAATTTCTTTTTTTTTTTTTAAATAAAAATGAGACTCAAACAAAAGGACAAAGTTAGTCTCCTTGGAAAGGGTGGTCATGGTTGAGAATAAATATAAAAAATGAGTTTTAGAAGAAGTTAGTTTAGAAACCATGTTGGATAAAATACTACTTTCTACTTAAATAATTACAAAAATTACTCTACGTCTGGAACCTTCTCATATCATCTAACCTTGTAGTAGCGGCGAGTTAACTCACCGCCACGATTAAATAAACGCAGCTACTCAGATTTTTCCGATTTTTTGATATCCTCTCTCACTCACCAGAAAACTCCATTTCTCTTTGTACTGTTGCAATCTCTTCCTGTGAACCGTAAACCCTAGCATCAGAAATCGAAAGTCAGAGGCCAGGAATAAGTACCAGTTCCTAATGGCGACAGCCGTTCTCCTCAGATCTCTTCGTCGCCGCGAAATTTCCTCCGCCCCTCTTAGCGTTTATAAAGCTGTATGTCTCCCTTGCGCAAACTCCTCTGATTGGTTCCCGTACTCGATTGATGTTCTTGCCTTAGTTTTACAGTTTTTATGTTTAGTAGATACTGCTATGACAATCGGATTGATATCATAGCACCTGACGCTACTATGTTGTTTATTATTTAGTTTTGATTGTTCTACTTTTAACGTTAAAAGATGTAAATGAAGGAAAACAAATAATAACTCAAAAGGATTGATGTCTTTTGTGCTGCTTTTTTCGTTTTTGTCGATCCTTGCGTCCAAAGATTGAGTTTTTCTAATGCAAGTGTATGTCATGCTCCTATTTGAGCTCCTGTTGTTCTTTTCGAACTGAATCATATTTTTGGGCTATATTAGCGTTTCAGTCCTTGATATTGGTGAAATTCATATTTTTTCACTGAGCATATATCTATATGATTTTTTCTTCTCCCACCCCGCTTCGACTTTTCTAGTTTCTCCTCCCGTTGTAATCTAATTATATTTCCTTTGTATCCTTCTTAGGGGTTGGTTAGATTAGATATGTCAGTTTGCTGCTATGATATCTCTTCACATTTGACGTTGATGATCAATCCTTGCTTTATTTTTTGCAAATCTGTAGGGAGCTCATTTAGTCATTCATAAGGAAATCTTGCCTTTTGCACAATTTAGCTAGATTTTCTGTTTTAGTTACTATTCTTTTGCTCATTAAATGGGCTATGTTTGTTCAGTTGAATGGAACTACGAAGCCGGCATGGGCTTTGGGTAACAAGTGGGCAGGCGTTGTAAGACCATTCAGGTATATTACCAGTTTACTTTCTCTGCTGTTTGTGAAATTCAACACTCATTTACTCCTCAATGCAGCACACAGCCAGCTGGGAATGATGTTATCGGTATTGATTTGGGCACCACAAACTCGTGTGTTGCTGTCATGGAGGGCAAGGTAAAGTTCTCTTTGTCCATCATCGAATCATCTCAAGAGCGTTAATGTTGACATGTTCGTGTCATAATGTGTTTTTCTTTCCAGACTCCTAAAGTTATTGAAAACTCAGAGGGTGCTCGTACAACTCCATCGGTGGTTGCTTTTAACCAGAAAGGAGAGCTTCTGGTGGGTACACCAGCAAAACGGCAGGCTGTCACCAATCCCACCAACACAATCTTTGGTACCAAGCGTCTTATCGGTAGGCGTTTTGATGATACTCAGACCCAAAAGGAAATGAAGATGGTCCCATATAAAATTGTCAGAGCCCCTAATGGAGATGCATGGGTTGAAGCCAATGGACAGCAGTATTCACCGAGCCAAATTGGTGCTTTTATTCTGACCAAGATGAAGGAAACTGCAGAGGCCTATCTTGGGAGGTCTGTCAACAAGGCTGTTATAACGGTACCAGCTTATTTTAATGATGCTCAAAGGCAAGCCACCAAGGATGCTGGGAGAATTGCGGGACTTGATGTGCAAAGAATCATAAACGAGCCTACTGCAGCTGCACTTTCCTATGGTATGAATAACAAGGAGGGTCTTATTGCTGTATTTGATCTTGGAGGTGGAACTTTTGATATTTCCATCTTGGAGATTTCAAATGGCGTCTTTGAGGTATAAGAAATTTTCTTTGAGTTCTCAGTTTGTAATGTTTTTATTAATCTTCTTGTTTTGTGGCTGATCAATCATTGTCTGAGCAGGTGAAAGCCACTAATGGAGATACTTTTTTGGGAGGGGAGGACTTTGATAATACTCTGTTAGAATTTTTGGTTAGTGAGTACAAGAGAACTGAAGGTATAGATTTGTCCAAGGACAGGCTTGCCCTGCAGAGACTTCGAGAGGCAGCTGAGAAAGCAAAGATAGAACTTTCATCGACATCACAGACTGAAATCAACTTACCTTTTATCACCGCTGATGCATCTGGTGCAAAGCATTTGAATATAACACTGACCCGATCAAAGTTTGAGGCTTTGGTGAACCATTTGATTGAAAGGACCAAGTCCCCTTGCAAGAGCTGTTTAAAAGATGCTGGAATTTCTACTAAGGAGGTTGATGAGGTTCTCCTTGTTGGAGGGATGACTCGTGTACCAAAAGTTCAGGAAGTTGTTACAGAAATTTTCAGCAAGACCCCGAGCAAAGGGGTTAACCCTGACGAAGCAGTTGCGATGGGAGCTGCAATTCAGGGTGGCATTCTCCGTGGTGATGTGAAAGAGTTGCTTCTCCTAGATGTTACTCCCCTGTCACTTGGTATTGAGACACTGGGAGGTATCTTCACTAGATTGATTAATAGAAATACAACTATTCCTTCAAAGAAGAGTCAGGTGAGGACCTAGAAAGAGATGAAGATTTCATTATATGATTTACCTTGTATTGATTTGCCCGAGTTTTTTTCTTTTTGTATGTAAATTAAACCAGCTTCTTGCTTACGAGCATTTTATTTGACTTTTCTTTTATTGCTTCTCTAATGTATTCTCTGTCTTTTTATGCAGGTGTTCTCAACAGCTGCTGACAACCAGACTCAAGTGGGTATTAAAGTATTGCAAGGAGAGAGGGAGATGGCTTCTGACAACAAGCTCCTTGGTGAATTTGAACTTGTGGGTATTCCTCCAGCTCCTAGAGGCATGCCCCAGATAGAAGTTACATTTGACATTGATGCGAATGGAATCGTCACTGTTTCTGCAAAGGACAAGACCACTGGTAAAGAGCAGCAGATTACCATTAGATCTTCTGGTGGCCTATCAGAAGATGATATTGAGAAGATGGTCAAGGAGGCCGAGGCGCATGCGCAGAAAGATCAAGAAAGAAAGGCTTTAATTGATCTCAAAAATAACGCTGACACCACCATATACAGTATCGAGAAGAGCTTAAACGAATATAGGGACAAGGTTCCGAGCGAAGTCGTGTCAGAAATTGAGTCAGCTATCACAGATTTGAGAACTGCTATGGGCGGTGAGAACATTGATGAGATTAAGGCTAAGCTTGATGCAGCAAACAAAGCAGTATCAAAGATTGGACAGCACATGTCTGGCAGTTCAGGTGGTAGTTCATCGTCTGGAGGGGCTCAGGGTGGCAACCAGACCCCCGAAGCAGATTATGAGGATGCAAAGAAGTAGATTTTTGAGGCAACAGGAGGAAGAACTTTTGTTTGAGATGTATGGTTCGGCTGTTGTGTTCATAATCCTGCAGAAGCTGGGCCGTATTAATTTGCTAGCCCAGTTCTAGTGATGGGTTTCTCGGTTACATTTTGGTGGCAAAAAGTTTTATTGTTGAATAAATTTTACTTTGCGATTGTAAATATTTTAGACGTGATTTAATTTCATTTGTTGCAGACTTTGTTGCTCACCTGCTTTTTGGGAACTTCAAAATTTTAAGGTGGCTTGAGTTGAAAATGTCTTTCTGACTCATTTGTTGTAACCGCCTACGTGGTAAATGATGTATCCATGTTGAAATATTTCAATCAATTGTCAGCTTATCAAAAGGTGATCTAAAATAAAATGATCTGAGTACATGGTTTTGTTCTGATTTTTTACCTTAAAAAGTTAATTTTTTTATCGTTATTTTTTTTTTAGTCAGTCGTAATTTTTTATTTCTTCTTTAATAAGTGGAATTAATTTTTTTTTAACGATCAAAAAATCAATTCTCATAATCACTACTGAACAAATTCTTAGGTAAAATAGCATTAGAACAACCAATAAAATACGATACAATTTAAAATTGCATTTTGAAACCTAGTTTTTGCTGTAATTTACCTTCCATGGGATATCGCACTTGAAATTTAATTAACTAAATAATTTACTTCCACAGGTCTACTTTCGCAACCAACCTTAGCGCCATTTTTTTCCATCCAAAAGTTAATCCCATCCGTTTGAAAGCTTTTTAAGCTTAAATCAGGACCTTTCAATAGGTCTCCTCCTCTTTCTTTCGTGAGAATGGATGTGTATGAATGGTAATTCAGAGATTTTTCTGTTGAAGTGAAACATCAAATCAAATCTATCTAGTCTCAAATAAGTATTCAATCTCCTACGGGAGAGAATTCACTCCGCTAAGTATAAGATCATCGACCACCATGACGTGGCAGGCTATCGACATCGTTAAAAGATAGATTAATGGGAAGATCGAAACTTCCAAAACATGCCCCAACATACATCCAATGACATAGAGTGATACATGCAATACTAACACTGTGAATTCCTTATTACAAATCTCAATAGCATCGAGACGACAATTTTCGATTAAAAGCCCAGAACAAAACCTAAAATCAATTGATGATAAAACAATTAACTTGATTTTTGTTAGAAGTCAGGAATTCTTGTGATCCAAAATTTGTTACTATTCTTAAATGTGACTGCGCTACATCTAACTGCATGAACCTTTTTTTTTCTTTTTAGCCTACGCAGAATTTAGATAAAAATCAAAATTTATAAAAATTAACGAAATATATGATTGAAAAAGTCGTAAAATACGTAACTAAAATTAATTATTGATTTAGATGTAAATTTGGATTAGATATTTTAAACGATACCAAACAAGAGCATTGTTTTTTATACTATAGTTCAACAAGTTATCAAAATGTAAACTATTTGAGATCAAAATTCAACTACTACTTATTTGTAGAACTGCACTAATGCCTTTTGTCGAAAACAGAAACAACTTGAGCTAAACCGAGTCTCTAAGTTCCGTGAACATTCTGTTCTGACAATCATTAAAATAATTTTATGTTTTCAAAATGGTAGTTGTTAATTTTTTTTATTTATTTATTTATTATTATTTTTAGAAAATCTGCAATTAAAAAGTAGGGAAACTTTTTGAATTTTATGTGTAAAATATATTACTATGAAAATATGTGAATTATAGAAACGAAGTGTAGCCTTATTGAATTACGAGAAATAGGGATCGTGGCCTATGAATACGGGATAAATCCACTATAGCCTACTTGTAGGCTGGCTTGGGACGTGTCCGTGGATTCTAACCTTGAATTAAATTACTTTGCTCGAAAATGGATCACCAAATGGTTGACATCCTTTTACATGCAGATGGATCCCGCGTGAATAAACCCGTCATTTTGAGGGCTGGTCATCCCCTCTATTAGCCATTTTTTGTCATTGTAGCATGATTGTTCTGACCTTAGCTCACCAACACAACCATTGAGTTAATTTTTTATTGATGGCCATTGAATTGCGCTTTCACCACTTCAATTAAAAAGTGGATGCAGAATTAAAATGGTGCGAGTCTGAAATAATTTTAATTATCCTTCTTCCAACAAAATTCCAACGTCTTCACTGCCAGGAATTCTCCAAATAAATGCCGTAGAACACACAAGAATTTGTTGGATATTGGTTAAATAAATCGAGAATTGAAAATCGATTAAAGTTCGTATCGATTTCGGCCAAATACTCAAAAGCTCGACTCAATCCGTTTAGGCAAAATTGTTTGTCACTTCGCCGCTTCGGGGTGCACAAACGGGGATCGACCTGCCCGGTCAGGTCGCGGGGGTCGAGGGGGCAGCGCCCCCCGTGGGGGGGCGGGGGCAACGCCCCCGAAAGAGAATTTTGATTTCTCTGCATGTATTGAAGGGTATATTTGGCATTTCGAAAACCAATATCGGATGAATGAGAAATTACGAAAAAGGACGAAAATCAGTGAATAGACACCTTTTCATAATGGTGCATTGTTTTGAAAGGGTGCATGGTTTGGCCTCAACCATTTCGTCCACACCCTTTCATGGTCTATAAATAGGACCCTTTGGGTGTCCTATTCCACACAGTTTGAGATGCAAAACGTCTCTCATCCTCTCTTCTATCCAAAATCAAAATCATTTCATTTATTTTGATTTTCTTTCATTTCATCCTTGGAGTATATAAGCCTAAATTTGGTTCGTTGTACTTGTGTTTTGGAGTGCTACAAACACAAGTGTAGCCGTTGTATCTTGGGAGTCGATTGCCGAAATCCGTAGGCACCGTTGCGGGACAAATTAGACTTAAGAACAAATAGTCCAACTCTTGCCTCGGCTTTATCACCATCATTATACTTATTTCGACGTCACTATTCACAAAATTCATCCAACAGAATTCTCCAAACAACATAGAATAATGACAACATTTCGAACATCAAACAACTATGTATATTCATTAACGAAGGATATACAAAAATTTTACACATGAACAAGAAAAAGAAAGAATATTTATTTCAATCAAAGCAAGTCAAAATTTAATTACCATTTCCATTACTACTTAAAACCTACAAAATCACAACAAAAAGAGAGAAGAAAAAAGAAAGAATTCTATCTATGATCGATGATCTTAAGAGCATGTCTAGGATGACTTATATTTAATGAATAATTTATTTTCGATGTAGAGGAACCGCACCGCTACATCTTTGACATATTTTAAATATAAGTCACCCCAAACATGCCTTAAATCAACCACATCAAGTCGCAACATTCATCTAACAAGCAACAGCAACACAGCGTCGCAATGCTACAATCACAACCCACAAATAAATTAAATCCTATTCGATAATCTAATTATCAAAAAAAAAAAAAAAAGCTGAAAATAATATATGTACATTAATGATAATGAGAACATACCAGGCCTCAAGGAAACCTGGGCTCCTCCTTGGTGGGGGAGCAGCATACATTGGAGGTGCCATCACAAGTGGCCCTTCATAAAACCCTGTCAAATTTTAAACACGCTTATTTTTCAAATAAGCAATTTTGGATTTTTCATAAAAATAAGTTAATATGGAGAAAAACATGTGTAGTACCATGATGAGTATGAACAGCAGGGTATGGATAAGCAACTTTCTCATTCATAATTGAAAACACACTAACAAATAAGTAATTATTATAAGATTGAAAATTTTTGTTTGTAAAGAATGGGCTTTGCTTTATATATTGGGGAAAAAACGGTCGATAAATGGGGACAGACTGAATATTAGGATGGGGACAACATATAATTCACGAAATTGTGACAACAAGACATGGACATGTTACGTGGTGCAATTTTGAGATGCCAATTGTCTAGTAACTTAATTGAAAAGAAAAAACTACTCAAAGAGGGTATTTTGATAGGGCAATATTGATCAAGTTGATATTCTACGTGGGCAAATTTATTTTAATTGAAAATTGAACTTTGTTCATTTCGACCCAACTTTCCAATCTCGACTTGATTGATATTGGTCAAGTTCGAGTGATCGAGTTAACTCTGGTGTTTAACCGCTCCGACTTAGTTTTTGAAGCAATTACTTAAGTGCGCTCGATTATGTTTCGACCTTCATAACAACTCTGTCTCAATAGTAATTGACATTTATTAGATAGAACAACTTCAATAGAAATGAAGGTAGCAAAATGTGGGCAACAATGTTGACAAACTTTTGGAATATTCTAAGGCTGAAAACTATCTTCTCGAGATGGGATATGGCACGTTGGACTTCACTTTCCATGAGTCTGTTTGGGAGTGATTTTAAAAATTGATTTTTTGACTGTTAGAAGAAAAGTGGGATCCACCTGTGAGAGAAGAAGTCAAATATGACGACTGAAATAGTAAAACAACGGTAAAAAATTCAATTTTTTGGGATAAAAAATCACTCCCAAACAGGCTCCATATTACCCATTATAAAATAATATTTAGTCTATGTTTGATTTTTATTTATATCAAATAAATTGATGAAATATATGATTGAAAAATTTGATAAAAATCATTAGTCCACTAAATTGTATGATTAGAAATAAATTTGAGGAAAATTTTAAATTTTAAAAAAATGGGGTGATAGAAACTTAATTATGTCTTAACAAAATAATGTTAGAGACAACAGGGAATAGACAAATTGTAGTAGCATCATCGAAACCCAAAACTCCTTTTTGATATTTTTTTAAGTTGACTCAGAAATGTCATTATTAATTAGTCATTAGTAGGTTTTTTATTTTATCATGTATTCTTATCTTAAGGATAAGGTTTTTAACAAAGTGGAGTTAATTATATAGAATAAAATATATAGTTGTTATAGAAGGAATGGAGAAGATAATGTTTTTATTTCAATAATAACATATATATTTGTTTTCAATCACTTTCGAAAGTGACATATCGAGTTGTAATTTTCATTAGTTATAACAGNTATTTCAATAATAACATATATATTTGTTTTCAATCACTTTCGAAAGTGACATATCGAGTTGTAATTTTCATTAGTTATAACAGTTGAGAAAACACTTTGGCTTAATTATTACAAAAAGGAAATAAAACAAAAGGATTAATGCTACGAATTTTTTGAAATTCCCATTGCTGTGGTTGTTACCTGCTTAGAACAAATAAAATATGTCATCAAATATATGTTTCAACATTTCTTACTCCTTGTCCATGATCAACATGTCACCAAATAGCACAAGCATTCAATTTCGATTCTACCTATGAAGCCTCAAAAGGAGTTCGTGGGGGCATGCAAGAAATGAAGTACGGTTAG